ATAAATTTATTCAAATATTAATAACATATTCAAGCATATCAACTTTTCTACTATCCTTGCGTCTATTACTGTTCATTTTAAAATATTAGCTTTTCTCTGAATGTTTTCTTTGAACTTATCATGCAAAATCTTAATAGTTCATTAGCTGATTATGTATTTCGAGTCGCACAATCACACATAGGCTAGACGAGTTTCAACCCCTGTCCTCCTTATTAAAGACTGAGTTTTACTTGGCAAGAGTCTAAAGAGACTCTCGCTCTTTTCCAACCGAAAAGTCATAAACTTTCATATTTGTTTTTTTCCTCTTCTATTCATTAGGTGCATTTTTCAAAAATTATTGGACAACTCTTCAGGTTAAGCTGCTTACATTCTTTCTACACTTCAAAATATAATGTATTGTTGATTTTTTTGTTACAAATTCCCGCACAAAAAAGGCTTCTGTTAATACGATCATATTTCTCGAATAGAAAGAGATCAAAAGGAAGTAAAAAACATTCAACATCGATATTTTCTAGAAAGAGCGCATTTGAGAATTGTGAGTCTATGACAACTTTTTCTTTTCTCATCAAGATCTATGTAACCTGAAAGTTTGAAAACTTTCTAATGAATTGTTCCCGAAAAGTATCAGAAAGAAAATCGGGTGAGTCCAACATCCCTCTACAGACATGGTCAAAAGGGTTAGTCGTTTCTAGAACTATTTTTTATGGTTAAACTAAATATTTATAGTACTTCATTTAAAGATCTTTGACTTTTTAAATTTCATTAATCTATATAATACAATCATCTAAATTCATTCTAGAGAAAAATTAAAAAATTTTTAATTTCTAAACTACTAAACTTTTGCGTATTTATCAACTTTATAGAAAATATAATGGTAAAACAAACCACGCAATCGGTTCATTGGAAGAATAGAATTCTCAATTTAGTTATTTGAATAATATTATTCATATGATACGATTCTATGCAATGTCGATCAAATGTTTTAATACTATAAGAACGTTTACTTCAATATAAACATTGGAATCGTTAATAATTAATTGAAATTATTATTAAATGATATGATATAACAAAAACAAAAGTTTCATGAAGAACAAAGAAAAACACAAAAAAAAAATATTTTTCACTATTTAATATTATCGATAATTATCGTCATTATTTGAAAAATTTAGTTTAATTAAAATTTTCATACATATTTATACGAACACGAACACATTTATCACTTTTTCTTTTTTTTTTCCATTGTATTGAAGTATGTTGTTTAGAGATTAAAGAATAAAAAAGTTTATTTGATATATCATCTTCAAATGAAACTAGAAATTAATTAAAAAAAAATTCTTTTTCATGTTTGTTTTCTTTCTCATAGAGTATCTGATAGAAAAAATGAAATCATTTATCTGAAAATATTGAATTAGAATAACAACTATTAACATAACTTGTAATAATAGATTTTGTTTCGTCAATAGTGATGTATTTTCGATTCTTTCGAGAAGATACACAAGTAAAGTTAATAAAAAAACACTTAATCTGAATAGTCCGAAAGGAATGTTAATTCAAAATATTGCTAAACATTCTGTATAGAACTGAATGATTTATTTATAAGAAAATTCCTTAGTGAGTTAGTTATACTGTGAATATTTATAGACAAAGAATAAACAAAAACTACTCCAACAATCTTGATTTTGATCATGAAGAATTTTTCATTCATTTTTTAATTGAATTATATTGTATTGAAAATAGAGATTCACTAGATAGATTAAAATAAATCATCATTCTATTATTCTCACTTTATCAAAAAAGAAATCGATATGAGAGAAGTGACTCTTTTATTAATAATTTTTTTTTTCAATCGTTTCCATTAAATAAGTACAGTCATTTGCGCATTTACTCTCAGGAAAAACGCTGCTTTACAACACTTCATATTACTTCAGTGAAACAGTAATACGATCTCTATTTTATTCAATTATCGATCATGAAGGTATACAATTGTTGACGAGAGTATCCAATAGAATCTGTTAAGTCGAATAGTCAATCCAAAGATGCGAGATACTTTTTATCGATTATTTGTATTATGTTAATAAAGCATTCTATGCATGGGGCAAACAATCGTAACGATGATCTTATTATAATCAATTTATATTTAACTGTTATTTTTATAGTATGACCCGTTGGATCAATTATGAACTTCGATCAGAGATCAACATGATATGCTCTAGTATTTGAATTCCATTATACTCTTCATTCTAGAAATAAATCATAAAAACCATTTAGTAATTTGTCACTGAAGTCATAAAATTTTTTCTATTCGTAATTTTTGCAATATTAAATTGAATTGAACTCGAAAAATTTTCATACTGATATACAATATTTATATAAAATAATTCGAACATTTAAATTGTTAAGGAAATGCTTTTAATGGATTTCATGTTTATTAATATTTAGTATAATAATAAAATTAGATACAACGATAAATAGTACTATGCCTTGATTTGTTTTTTTATGAATAATAAATCAAACTAATAATAAAAACAATAATGTTCAGAAGATCATCATCTATGACATCAATGAAGAACGATTGTGTTTAGGCTCATTTCTAATCGTTGAAAAAAAAAAGAAAAGTTATTTGCTTAACTAAATTAATTTATATTAATTGTTATCTTGTTTTCTGTAGAGTAAATAGAAACAAAAAAAAAACAAAATTTATTCGTATTATTTTTTGAAATTCATTGAATTTATTTGATTCACTGAACTTATCTATTGCGAGTATATAATACATTCTAGTTTGAATTTAACAAAGCTATATCTCTAAGGAATATGCTCATATTCTCTATTTGATTTCTATCATCATCCTTATCGTCTCACTTCTATATCGGTTAGATTTCATTATTTTGTTGTTTTTTCTTAGTCATAAAAATATTGATAAAATTCTTAAGATCAAATATATTTTTTCTTTTCATAGACAAATATGAATATTTTTTATTCAATAAGACAAAAAATTTTCTTCATGTTTTCTATTAAATCATTAATCAACAGAAATAATCCATCGATAATACAGATATATATTTAATTAAAATATCTTCATAAAAATTAGACATAGAATTCATTGAGTCAAAATAATACTATTTCACTATCTTCTATTTAAAAACAAAAACAAAAAATTATTCAAAATTCAAATCACAGGAATCGATTAATAATACTTCATTTTAATGAATGATCTGGGCTCCGATTCATCCTATATTTCGATTGATTTTCCCATTTTTCCTATATTTTGCCAAAAAAAGTGGAAAAATTTTACAAGATTTGACTTTGCCCTGAGGAAGAGTACGGGGATCTTCGCGGTGCTTCCCCCTCCGGTGTTCACTTTTTACGAAAAAACCAGGTAATGTAAATAGCTGTTTCTTGCAAGTAAAGAACATACATTTGAGGTGTGGTTCGACGTACAATACCTAAATTTTAGTCAATTTTTAGTGAAAATAATCGTATAAATCAGAAAACGAAATCCTATAATTTCGAAAATTTGTAATTGGAGACCAGTGAATGATGTACTGATGAATATTTTAATTCTTAATTATAGATGCATCATCAGATCTATGCCTATAAAAAAAAACTAATCTTCTTTGTTTCTATTCTTTGTTCACATATTGATATGATCATAGATAGATAGAGATAGTAGCTCATACTTTTTAAACTATATTTCTTGCGTGTTTCACATATGTCACCAAGCATCTGCGTGTATAACAGTGCTCTCTCAGATAATTTTCGGAGATGTTGAAATAAGATAATCAATGTGAACAAAAGAAAGAAAGAAAAAAAAGAAAAACGAGAAGCCTATCAGTTTGTCATTTTGATTACTTTACTTTCATATGAAAAGATATGAAACAAACAAAAGACCAAAAAAGAAAAAGGTATATTAAATGATAAATGAGAATAGCAATCATCACGGAAATATAGAAGCATAGATTTACATAATAATTATGCGCATATGTCGGCTTTAATTCAATCTCTAACGATAAGAGCATCGTGCGTGCTTATTTTAGCTACAATACTTAATGCATATTTCTAGTTTTCTGTTTTTTTTTTTTTTTATCGTCTAAAATTTATGACGAAAGTTTTCTTTTTTCTCTTAATATGTTTGTCTATTCAACGAAGTAAGGAAAGATGAAACGATTCTATATTGAATATTACCATAATTTATTAAATCTAGTCTATAGTATCGATCTCTAACAAATTCAGATATGTTGACAATATTATAGATTATTGTAGAAAACATATCCGAATAGAGTTATTCGTAGTTGTTTTTTTTTTTTATTACACATAATTTATTACCGATTCAATCAAATGCACGTTGATCGAAGAAGAGAATTTTGTCGTATATTTTCTTATTTTTATCGAAGTAATACATCAAGTGTTGTTTTCTATTCCTTATTCTAAGAAACTACTTATTATGAACAGTAGAACAAACTTTTGTTATTTTTTATAAAAAAAGAAAAATTTTTCATAGCAATTTATATATTGAAAATTATCAAATTTTAAGTAAGTTTATTCGTACAATGTTCTATAAATATCTTTTTTTTCTAGAATTCAAAAAAAAAAAAAGATTGTTTTTTTCTTTCCTACGATTATCAAGATTAAAGGAAGAGAGAGGGAAAATCGACGTCTAAAAACATTATTTTAATACTTGCATACAGTCTAAATAGAGAACATCAATAAAGAATGTAGAACCTTTTAGATAGTCTATTGGGAAATAATAGCGAAATGCACGTCTATATAGAGACTTTGTTTTCTTGTCATTCATCATCAATAAATGCTTTTTTATTTAATTTAACTATCGAAGAAGTTGACGAAGTTCATTTATTTATAAGTTATATTGTAAATACTTGTTATTATTCTTTTCTTAGACAAAAGAAAAACAAGAAAAAAACCGGAGATTGTCATTACTTAATGCTCTATTTAGTGTAAAAAACAAAATATAACAGATTTTCTCAAAAAGATTAAACAATATCATGGCTGAAGGACGAACATTGAGTAATAATGTGAATTATTTATTAGAAGATTATTCAACATCTATCGAATATTTTGATAAGGTATATGAAATTTATCATTGTTAAATTATTTATATTTAATTATATTTATATATTAGTGTTTAACAATTGCTAAAGAATGTAATGATCAATTAGGTCAACGTCGTGCACATACAAATCTTGGCAATGCGTATTTATATATAGAAGAATTTGATAAAGCTCTTTATCATTATAGGTAAAACATCTATGAATTTTATATTAAAAAAAAATTTTTTTATTTGTCTGTAATAAAGAGAAGCAATGATTATAAGTGAAATAATGAATGATGGATTAATTTTAGCACAAATATGTTTTATTCTTGGTCGTATTTATAATATAAAACAAGATAATGAAACATCAATTTATTATCATGAAAAACATTTAAATTTAGCACATAAATTTCAAGATTATAAAGGTCAATGTCAAGCATATCTTATTTTAAGTCAATTATATGAAATAATAAATCAATATGATAAAACAAAAAAATATCGTAATCTTTATAAATCTTTAGCACGAGAAGTAAATAGAATAAAAAAAAAAAAAAAAGAAGAGATCTACAAAATAATTTTCTACAGTAATTGTTTTTTTTTTTTAATTTAGATTGATGAAACAAATGAAAAAAAAGTTTTATCATCAAAGAGTAATGCATTTAAAGTTAGTTTTTATTTAAATTTAATTTTAACTATAATCATTCGTTCTTTTTTTTTAAGAATCTTCGTGCTGAATCAATTTGTATAAATCTAACAGAACCACATATGACAAATTCAACACGTTCAAATTCAGTTGTAGCTAGTAATTTTTTAAATCCTATAGATGAAAAATCAATATTAAATTCAAATAAAAAACTTAAATTAAATTTTATTCAACATCTTACAAAAAAATCACCAATAGCAATAAGAAAACAAGTAAAAAAAAGTGTTTTTGTGTTAAATGATTGAATGTTTTGATTTTTAGTCATCAAAAAATGATTCTGATGAATTAATTGATATTGTTTGTCGTATGCAAAAATCACGTTTTGATGATCAACGTTGTGATATTAAAATGACAAATAATGAACAAATTGATAAAAATAATGTTGAAGAACATCGTATGTTATTGTTCTTTTTTTTTCTAGTTTGTAAAATTTACAAAGAGATAATATTAGTAGATTTATTTTTTCTCATCCGATTATATTATCAAAATATTAAACAAACTAAAAAAAAATAAAAGAAAAGATTTTCTCTTTATTTTGATTTTTAAGATAAGATTTACCAAAAACATAAGAATAATCACCGTAAATTATTTAAGATGATGAGAAATGCACAACTTACAAAAATTCTGTAATATTGTTTTTTTACACTTTTCTTATATGTGTCGAAAAGATATTAGTTAGTTTTTTTTTTTTGGAATTTAAAATGTAAAATTCAATAATTTAAAAATTTTTCTATATACAAAAAGATGAAATAGGTTTTCTCAATTTGAATATTAGAAAATTTGTTTCATCGAATAAATCCTGTACGATTAAGATTAAAGTAAAAAAAAAAGGATACGAAAATATTTCATGATTTATTCAAATTATGCCAACATTCAACAAAGGATTTTCAGTTTTCTTATTGCGATGAGATATAATAGAAATATCTGTTCATGATATGCTAAATTTAACACTACTTTACATTAAGACATCACCTAGAAAGCAAACAGAAATAACTCATTTGATAAAGTAATAGTTGTTTTATTATGGTACATAAAATTTTATTCGAATATATTATGTAAAAATATCATCTATATTTTGATCATGTTTATATTCATAAAGTTCAGGAAAATCAACGGAAATGCTATGACAAAGAAAAGAAAATCAGTTCAAGATTTAAGATCTTTCTTTCTTTCTTTTTTTTTATTTCATGAATAATTCAATGTTTATAATCTATGTAGGTTCTAATTCTCAACTTGATGATATATTAAATACAGTTGATCGTTTACAACAATTTCGTCTTGATGATCAACGAACAAATATTCCTAATAATAATATAAATACAAAAAGTCCACGCCTTTCACCATTACATGAACAATTTTTTGATCAACTTGCTAAATGTCAAGTTAGTTTTAATAATCCAAAAAAAAAACAAACCTTACGTTTATTTTCTATTCATAGGAATCTCGTATGGATGATCAACGAGCTATACTTTTACCATTATCAAATATGAATACATCATCAACAGTACGACCAATATCAGCCGTACCAACTCTTACAACACCAATAATATCTGAAACAAAAAATTTTCTAAATGAATCAATGTCAAAAACATTACCAGATGAAGATTTTTTTTTACTTCTTAATCGTTTACAAACACGTCACAATGATCAACAAAATACATCTATATTATCAACAAAAATTTTATCATTGAAAAAATCTTTTGAATAAACATATTTAGTCTATTTTTTTTTTCTTTTTGATCGGATTTTAAAGTTTTATTTTATTTTTGTTTCAAAAAATTTAAACAAAAAAAAAAAAGAAAACAAATATCTTATTTATGACGATATTGATTATATGGTAAATGTTCATTAGGATAATCCATTCTTTGTGCTGTTTGAAAATCAATTTGATCTTTATTAGCAATACGAGAATCAGTTAAACGATTAGTTATGGGTGGTAAAACATTACCCAGTACTAATGATTGTTCAGCTTCATCAGATAATGATGCATAATAATGAACAATCTAAAATATTAGAAAAATAATTCATGTTCCAGAATAAATTGTAGTATTATCAACACAAAAATCTAATGAATGCAAATATTACTATTATAATTATTGATAGAAACAACATTTGAGACCAACAGTTTTTATTATTCAAGAGAGAACACTTAAGCTCATCAAAGTAAATCAAATGAGTTCTTGATAAAGATTCTAAAGTCAATTCTCATGAGACTTTAACTTGTAAGTTATTTATTACGTTAAGTCGAATATTGATGTTGAATTTTAGTTTCACATAAACCTGAGACTAATAGTTCAAGATTTTTCAAAACTGTAGTTTTAATGCTTTTTTTGAGGAAAATTTTTAAAATACTAAAATAACAGTCTCATGTTGCTTTCAAACTGAATATAAACATTACTATTTGACTCAATACAATGAATAAACTTTATGTGGATCCCCTTTCGAAGCTTTCCAGGTCAAATAAATAAGAACGGGAGTCTCTAGGAACGGTGTGGTTCTTTTCAAACCGTTCTATTCTCTCATGATCATTAATTAAATTCCTTCGAATGAAGTACAATATATCTGATCATTCACTCCATACTATTTGTATATGAACGAAGCCAACACTCTATATATATGATCTAGATTTATCAGTGCTTTTTCTGATATCATCATCAAGAAATAAAAAATTAACTTCGATAGAAAAGCTGTTAGCGCAATCCCTTGAGGGATTAAAAATGTGAAACACGATGGATCTATTGTTACTAATTAAATAGAAATCCTTTTGTTCCGTTCCTTTGCGACACATTTGTAGTTAACCGTTTATCTGATCCTTTACAACTACAGCTTCACTGTCACGGTCTGTGATGGTACCCTGGATTCTCTGTCACGGTCTGTAATGGGTATGGATTTTCTCTGTCACGGTCTGGGGAGGGGGGGGGGGAGTGGGTGCAAATTTCTACCCCTAAACACTTCAACACGCCTTTCAGATCGTGTTTGACAAAAATATTCTTATTTACTTTTTCAATAATTTGTGTTCGTCTTGATAAGCGACTATCATGTTCATCTGAACAATATTTTAATATAGCTAAAAACATATCCGTAACTTTTTCTAAAACAAATGGAATACTCCATCGAAATGCATCAAGAAAATTTGGAAGAACATATGGATGTTTGACCCATCTGAATAAATATATTAGAAAAAAAGAAAAACAAGATAATAATTAAATTCAAGTTATTTTTCTTTTTTTTTTTACTTATATTGAAAAACATGCATTACAGAGCCATCATAACGTAAAATTGCACCACGATTTTTATAAACTTCACCTAGAAAAAAAAAAAAATTTTCGTTTTTCTTGCTCATAAATCTTTTAAAATTAAACAAAAACAAAAAAAGAATTTACAATAATTCGGTGCTGAAAAAATTGTTACTAATGTTGGAAATAATGTTTTTTCATGTTTTTTATACATTTTACAACCAGCTGATTGTACTTGATGAGCACGAATAACACAAAGAAGATCATTATCATCAAGAAATTTACACATTGCTTTATATGATACATTATATGAACATCCACGTGGTCCATTATGTGTATACATTTCTAATTTTTGTTCAAGTTTTTCATTATCATAACCATCAGTTGGATCAGCCCATAGAATATCACAGAGAGGTCCTCGAAAAATAAAAGTAAAAACGTAAATTATTTCTCAATTGAATTTATTTTCTATATGAACCTTTTGTTGGTGGTTCAATAATACGATTAATATCAGTTACTTCTCGTATATAACGTATTTCTGGTGATATACATCCATGTAAACAAAATAATTGACCTTGAACTAAAGCTGCTATAGGTAAACAATCGAATGATTTCATACATTCTTCATAAAATAAATCACCAAGTTTAAGTAGACATTCATCTTTAAATCTAAAAAATGTAGATTTTTATTCTAATATAATTTTTCAATTAGGCTTAGTCTTTTTTTTTGATCAACGAAACTAAATTACTTCTATTTGTTTTTGCTCGGATTGACAAATACTTTAGAACATTTAGAGTCTTCTGTAAGAAATGTTTTATGAGTCAAGTCATATTTTTAAAATGTGCTCATGAATTTAACTCGTTTATAAATTTTTCTTGTTCTGACTAATTTCGTTTTTTGTTCCTCAAAATTTTCAAACTAATTAACTTACGTAAAATAAACTGTTAAATTACGACCTAAAATATTAAGTTAATATAAAATTAAAATTCAAAATTTTAATAAATAATCTTACATTCATGATTGCCTCGAAGAAGAAAGAATGTATCTGGATATGTAATTTTAATTGCCCATAAATATAGTACAACTTCAACAGAAAATTGACCACGATCAACATAATCACCAAGAAATAAATATCTTAACAGAAAACAAACAAAAAAAAAGACAATTAAATTATCTAATTAGATTATTTACCGATTCGATGCTACATCACCACCTTTTTCAAACATTTTAAGCTAAATTTTGAAATAAAAATTATTTTGTTATAAAACAAAAAAAAAACTACACATATTAATAAAAAAAAATAAAAACCATATCAAAGAATTGTCCATGAATATCTCCAACAATCGTAACTGGTGTACCTATTTCAAGTAAATTTGGTTCTCGAGCCGTTAATTCTCGACCACGAATCATAATTGTTAATGCTGCATCAAGTTCAAGACGACCTTCAGCTTCCAAATGTTGAAGAAGTAATGAAAGATTAGGTTTATCTTGTAAAAGATAATTAATTAATTTATCAAATTTATGAATAATAATTCTTACTAACCACTTGTACCAAATATTTCTTTAATAGTTAATAAATGAACTGGTGGATATGGTACACTATCCATAACACGATCTGTACTTGAATAAATTTTTCTATTCATTTTAATTGTTGATTGATATATATCCTTCTTGGTTGGTTGATTTTGATGAGGATTTTTTTTCATATTTTTATTTATCAAAAATTTGTCAAATACGACATACGCGCGCAAATCTCAATTTTTATTTCTGTATAAATAACAGAAAATAGTTTATTTAAATGAGAAATTTTTGTCATTGTCTTTATTTTCACACTCTTATGATTCAATCACATACAAGGATATGATCTTGCTAGGAAATGATTGACATGTATATTTTGAATTTTAACAAAAATGTCATATCATGTAAAGTTTCATATTCAATTAGAAGAGTGCACTATCTAATCTTTCTTATCGTTGAGAAGACTGTTAATGATTTTCTGAATCTTCGTGTGAATTGTTTTTTCACGATGCTAAGAAAATTTTTTTTATGACGGTTTTTATTTTTCAACATTGCGACTGATGGTCGTAGATCCTATTTGATTTTAATGAATAGTTTTTAGATGTTCTTTGCTTTATTTATATACAGCATATTGATTATGATCTACATCTAAAATAGATGATCGATCAAGTTCTTGTGCCATTAAATAAGATGTAGGTATGGGACCATTGTAAGATGAATTTTGTAATGTGTCATAGATTGTTCGTGTTAAAGTTTTTAAATAGCGACGTTGATTTTTATGATATCGATAGATTAGAAAAGCAATTATGGATATAAATAAACCTATCATTGCAATCTAAGAGAAGTACATTGTAAGAGTTAACTGTAAAAATTTCAATCATATAACTTACAATAACAATAAACATGATTAAAAGACTTGACAATGATGATTTTGAAGATACTGATGCTATAAAAATCAAATTATTTCAATAATATACTTTTGAGAAAAATTTATGATTATGATTAGAAATGAAATTCTCGAACTGATTTAAACCTATGTATTTATATTAAACTAGATATTTTATTTATCATTTACATGAAAATATTGGTGATTGAGTAGCATAGTTAGATATTGTGTTTGCAGACAGTTTTATTAATAACAATAATATCAACAAAAGAAAAATAATACTGACAAGCGCGCATATATTCAAAAGATTTTTCTTTAGATAATTATTTATAGGAGCCTGTATAACAAAGGTATCATCAGAAATTATTCAAAGTTTTAAAAGAAAATCCTGCACTTTTTTGAAAATTTTTGGTTCGTTGATGAGTTCAACTACCAAAGGTTCTAGATGCTCTGAAGAACCATTCGAAACTAAAAATGAGTGAATTCTACGTTGATCGAAGAGAAATATGTCGATGTTTATTGACACTACTATCAGTATATCACGATATTTATGAGAAATGTTGATTGCACCTATAGAAATTAATCACGTAACTGGACTGATTTAGACTCTATGGTTTAGACACATCAACATTGTAAGAATACACCGAATAGGATTTAATTCTGACAATTTTGACAGAGTTCAAAAATATTCATTCACTTCAATGTAATACACCATGATACAACATTTCCTAAAAAGCAACGGCTTTTATTTTCGCATGGGTATGCTGAAATGTAAAAATGACGATTTATTCCAATGTCAAAACAATATATATTATTATTTAGTTGATAATAAAAGATTCAATTTATTTATTTCATTTATAGAATTAATATTTATAAGAAGAAAAGTATTTTTTTTTTGCAAAGAACAACAATCTTCATGAACAAATTGACTTGAATCATGCATATGTTTTCATATCTAATTTGTTCAGAATTGTGGCGTGTGTAGGTGAACCAAATGATCTGTAGTTCTGATTGCTAAGTTCTGTAATGGGAATGAGGAAAGCTACAAAACTTGAACTCAATATTTT